AGACGTGTCGGGAAGGAGATAGATGTGTCCTCGGAAAACACCTGTATCTCCGGAACCAAAGAAGATGAAGACCTGGGCCTTGCGTAGTTTTGAAGAGAAATGTTTCGGCTATCAAATGGTATTATAGAAGATTGTATTTCATAGTGCCGTTTAGGAACGGTAAGCTTTCGGATTTTGCCTCGAATGGTACACCATGGTAAACCTGATCGAACGCCATGATTTTCTCACAGATCTACGTGCCCCGGTGTCTAGTTTCAGAAACTGTAAACCGCAAGTCTGTAGCATTCCCCGTTAAAAAGTTATAAGCGAAATATCGGAGTCCATTATATTTTGATACAGATAGTAGTTGGATACGGGCCTCCGTCTTGCCGAATTTGACCTCGAAGTTTTTTCGGAAAAGTACCGCTTCATTGCTGGATAGTCCTTTCTCATTATTCAAAATCAGTTTCTATACAAAATAAGAATAGAGAATACTGATCGAGAAGTAAATTATGCCTACTACAAACGATTTGAGTCCAGTCGAGTCTGAGTATTTGGATTATTGCCTATTCCAGGCTGAAAGCAGCTAGTTTACATTACTAGTATTGGAAAACTATAGCGAAATCTAGCGCATTCTTAGGGGTCTATTTTAAATTTGTTTAACGTATTTGGAAATGTTTATATTTCTATCACTGATCTTTTTCTAATGTGTTTTTTTATAAAACAGGTGAGAAAATACAATAAATACAAGAGTGTTCGTGACCACCATAGTCTGAGTGATAAGAGAGAAAGACTACGTGACGAAAGAAAATTCTAAGAATAAAAGAGCCCCTGTCTTAGAACCGTATGAAAGCTTATTGTACCTTAGACTAAGAGATTTTGCTAGCTGAGTAATTGGACGGCAGTATATTGTCGGCTTCCTATGTACTTCCATATAAATAAGACAGTTTAGTCAATGAATAGAAGCATCTAGACTAGAAATACATGTGATATAAAAAAATGTGTTGTTGAAGATACTTTTTCAAAACATAGGATCATATAAGCATTAAAATAGTAAAAGGAGTTTTAAATGAAAATAATCAGATTATATACGTGTTCGCAGTAGAACCGGTTGTTTTTTAAAATCAGGATCTCCATTTCGTCTTTTTCCTGCAACTGACTTCGATCTTAATTCCATTGCTACAATCAGAATAATCGGAATAACGATGGCTACGGCTAGCGCTACAAAACGTGCTATATTTAAAATCTTCACCATTCGATGAACATACTGGAGTTGTCCTAATGCCGTTGTATTCAATGTGATTTCTTGATCGATCCATAATAGAGGAAGAATTCGTTTAGAAACTCGAGCATTCATTGATGGTCTCCATTCACCACCTCTATATTTGAAAGTGTCGACAAATGCATTGACATTCAATTGAATACGATGATGAGCTTTCACTGGTGTGCCAGAATACGGTTCAAAATAGATCATTGATTCATGTTTTTCTCGTTCAGGTGAAAATCCATTAATATTAAATTGAGATGAATTATGTCCATAGAAATGTGGTTTTGATAAATAAACGGTACCACTAGGCATTGAAGCCGATAAACATTTTGAAATATCAAGACGATCCGATTCATTGCATGTTTCACTGTTATCAGTACACTGTTCTAAATCAACAAGACGTATAATAAATTCATGTACATTGATATTAAACATGCGAACAATTTTATTAAATTTTAATTGTATTGGACGACAAAAATCTGGTTGAAAAATATTAATTGTTTTTTTTGTTTGAAGTAATGGTAGAAATGTGAGACCATCATACATTTTAAATGGATAATCAGATGAATTTCTTTGAAATGGTACATTTTCAGATGCAAATTCGAGTACACGTCCTTTGTCTTCAACACCAGCACGAATTGTATAATTATATGATCGACTACCATTGTAACGATAGACATAACCATATTTAGCGACATTTGGTCCAGTCATTTTATCTTGCATTGCTCTAAATAATGATGATGTAAATCCTTCAAGTTCATCAATACCTGGTCGTTGATAAAATATATCATTACCACCCATATCAAAAAATAATTCTTGAATATTTGAAAATTGTGAACGAAATATGGCACGAAGTATATCAACAAATGTTCCTTCTGCTGTTAATAATGTTTGATCAAAATCTTTTTGTCGTGTAAATATACGATGAATAGAATATTTTAAATCTTGATCATTATTTACCCATTCAATATCTGCTTTTGTTGCATTAATATCGTACATATATGGACGTGTTTCTTGAACATTTAATGTTGCCGATGCATTTCGTTTTATTAAATCAATTGAATTTGTACCATAATCATATAAACGATATGCTCGTGTTATAATTGTTGGTGGATTTTTCCAATAAGTCATACCCTCTGAATCGGGACTTAATTTAACAACTTTTAATACTTTACTAATAATTAATTTTTCCCAATAGATAAAAAATAAAATAGCTGGTACTAATAGAAATAATATAACAATAATATAAATAATTAAACGTAAAAGAAAAGATTTTTTTGAACTTTTAGTTTTGGAAGCCATGTTCATACACGTGTATTTAATTCCATAAAAAAAAAATAAAAAAACGAATATATGTGTTCGATTGTTAAAAAAGATAAGAAGAAAAACGAACGAGAGAACACTATTTGCTCAACTCATACAAAAAACGGTTGTACGGACTGAAAAGAAAGAAAAACAGAGTGATATAAATGATGTATCCTTGGCATACACACTTACAACATACTAAAAAGAATATTAAAAAAAAGAAGAGAAATGATAGATATACACAGTATTTACCACTCGTTTATTAATAAACGATGGACGCACACACACACACACACATATACACACATTTATTTGCGGTCACAACCTCTGATGAAATTTCTATCTTGTGCATTTTTGATGCGGCCAAAGTTTATAGTTAAAATATTGAGCGTGTTGGACTTTTGCTGTGTTCTTAGACTATTGAGGACAAAAAGCATAGCGATTTTAGCGACAAAATAAAACCTTTCTATTTCTCCGTCTTGAATAAAGATCAATAAAAAACGTTTTATATACATATTTACTATCAATTATGAGTTATGTTGGTCATATATGTCAAATTAAAAAGGTTCCATCAAACAGTTGGTGCCTTGCGTTGGAAAGAAAACGTTGTAAAAATTTATTCTTTTTCTAACATTTTTTTGGATCAAAATCTGCGAACAAACAGAAGTAGAAAGATAAAATGGTGACCCACTAATTCCTCTGAGTTTATTTTTACTCTATGAAAAGTTGTCTCTGTACTTTTTGTCACATAAAATTTGAAGCGTCTCATAATATTCGTTTGACAGTGTATAAGATGCGTTCGAAAAAGATATTTCAGAAAAATGAAGAGGTAACATTCGATCATTTCCCTCTATTTATTCACTATCAATTAATTTTTACTTCACAAACTATACTTGATATATCTACAGTCCTCTGACGTTAAATTCAGGGTGAAAAATTTTAATTTTTTCAACCTTATGGAATAACTTATAAAACTTTCTTCTAAGCTTAAAAGATTCAGAATTTTTTTGTCTAGTATTTAATGATATGCTTCTGTTAGAATATATCGTTATGCTTTCTGTAAAACTTCTGAAATAGTAAAATTCTCCTAAAACTACCCTATTTTTATTTGAACAGGATTTTTTCTCGATATTTGTAAAAAGATGAGAACATCCACTAATATCCAAAAATCCCCGAAATTAAAATGTGAAACAACCAATCGACAGAGCTCGTCGCGTTGAGTATACTAACTTCCAAAACAATCATTAATAGCGAAACATTTCCTCAATTTTTACAAATAAACACCTACTAATACACAAAAGTATGCCAAGTTGATCTACATGACTCTCGGATCCTAATTGGCATGGTTTCTAAATGAAAAAAACGACTTGGTGATCTTTGAACATTTTTTTAACAAAGTCATAAAACGGTCATTAGGAAGTCCATGAAATTCATTACAAAATCGCTACTTTGTATTTTTATAAAAGTTATTTATTACATTTTTTGTTCGATTAGACTGTCTAAATTGTGTCCTTCCGCAAATGGAACACATGGTACTCAATTAGTAAGAGACCAACTTTCATGACAATTTTACAGTAGATTCAACTCTCTCTTTTCTATCTGGGTATGCACCGGTATCAGTTAACCGACACTGAAGAAACCGATGTTCGCTTTAAACCGACACCATCATTAAGATTTTAAAATGATATAAAGAGTGAGCACATAACATCTATTCACTATTGTCAAAGAAACATTTGATTTTATCTGTACCGCTTTCGGTCAATCGCCAATCAAAAAGCAAAAACCGCTAAAACCAGAAAAAGCACACACAAACCTACATTTTGACTTAACGAACGAATTTTATATCTGGTATTTGCCTTTCAGTGAATGGAGTATGCCATATATTTCTTCTTCTGATCATCTGTGTTATGTCCTACGATTTCTCGAGTTACATATAGCTATCGAGACACAAAATTTCACAATAATACTAATAAACGGGACCTCTCCAGATGTCCAACGCCAATTTCAATGATCTTTTGCTATAGATAACTTATACATATATTACCTATAATTAATTAGCACCGTTGATGTGTTCTTTGATGTGTTATATATCAGAGTTAATAGTGATCTATAGAAAGCAATGAATAAAACGGAGAAGAAAAGATAGATTTCATCTATTTTCTCTCTTATGCAAATTTAACAGAGGAGCGCTTACATCATTCTACGAGTGATTCGTTCGCTTCGATCATAATTCTGACGGCTTCCCTTATAGTGTAGGTCATTACTTAAACGATGAAATATGAAAATAATTAGACTTTTCCTAATCCACCATCATAAGAAGAACATTTTGTATAATTTCAGCTTTTAGTATCGCAATAAGGGTGAAAAGAAAACGTTTCTATCATAAGTTTGTCACAGTTGGGTGACCGTCTTCATAGTTGCATCCACGTTGATATACGGAAAGAACAACACCGAAGCAAATAACTTGTACATATTAACGTACACTCAATAGAAAGTATAGATGGGTGAATGATATTTTCTCGCTCTTCTAGCGTGAGGATGTATGCTCAGTTTGGTAATTTATGTGGGAGACACGTGTCGTATAGAAGAAGCCGTTCGTACTGACTCATGGGGAGATCATCGCACGTGATCCACTCCATTTTATACCATATTTTGCTGATATGCAGAGCCTACTGACCTGACAAAACAGCCCACAAGGATTTGGGGCCATGTTACTTTCTTCAAGAGTTATTGAATTTTTTCGTTTCGACAAGAAGAGCGATTCCTAACATTAAATTTTTTATAACTCAGTCAAAACAGCGAATTAAGAGCTCAGCTTTTATTCTCATCACAGCCTAGTCATTTGCTAATGATCCCCAAAGATTCTGACCTTTAGCTGTTATATTGAATGAATAATCGAATATTTACCTTTTTGCCTAAGCGATTCGTGTATTTTCATTTTTATTTCTTGATCTAACGTTTAGTTTACACAGTCAAAAATACTAAGCAAATAATATAGATCTATAGTAGACTCTGACACGTTAAATTGTTTTCTCATTTTATAAATGCAGACTCATCGCAGTCATTTACTTCACAGAGATGAACGAGAAACATATTTTCTTTACATTTTGGAATGACATAGAATCCATTGATGACAATTGAGAAATACTGATAAGTATCCGAAAATCGGAAAAACCTATACTTCAGATGTTTTGCTTGTTGTTTTTTCTAGTTAAATTTTGGAACTTTGAAACAGAGTTTTTCTGAATCAGCGTGTCAAACTGCATATGATAACGTGTCTTTGAACTTCTCCACATCGCTCTTAGCCTTTGCAAAAAATTCATTTCTAAGAAAACTCAAAATGTAATATTTCTTTTTCTCGAAAGCAATACGGTTTTTTTCTCTCACTGTTATATTAAAAACACTAAAGTTAGTTGGTTAGAGTAAAGTAGTGATTAGTTGGAAGAAAAATTAGTTACATCAGTTTCTGTTTTCAAACATGTCAACTATCCAATCGGCTTTGTTTGTGCCGCTTTCCATTTAAAATTTCTTCGATGCGATTTCGTTAAATTAGTTACAGCATGAATGCTGCTAGAGTGGCAAATTTGGGAATGAACTTGCGGTACCAGCTGAGGGCTTCGATGAACTTGTTAGAGAAAAGAACTTGAGTTCATGTTTTGGTTCTTTCATTTCTGAAATACTTATTATTTAACCTTCTACAGGCGTTACTTTATTATATGTTATAGTATGGGCAAGATAATTAATCTTTTCTACTGCTAATTCACATTTGGATGGATTTAGTGTTATGTTTTTATTTCGTAAATCAGTGAAGACCTTTCAAGATGATTGAGACGTTGTTCATATGAGTGGGAATACACGATGATGTCATCGAGATATACGAGTGAGATATCACGACACGATTTCAAAGTGTTGATCATCATTTTTTGAAAGATCGATGGAGAATTGCGTAGGCCCATTGGTAGAACATTGAATTGATAGTGGCCGAAGCTGGTGATAAATGCCGTTTTTTCTTTGTCCTCTTCTTTATGGGAATTTGCTTCAAATCCAGTTTAGAAAAATATTTTTATCCACGTCCTAGTTTTTGTATTGTATCTTCCGTGTTAGGGAGGGGAGACGAATCTTTTATTGTAACCAAATTTAACTTTTTATAATCAATGACAAGACGATCCTTTCCATCAGATTTGTTCACTAATAACGCCGGTGCTGCGTATGGAGAATGGAATTCGCTTATTAGGCCAGCTTTTAAGGATTCCTGGCATTACTATACATTACTAAAAAGCGTCACAGGTATAAAATTTCCGCACATATTTCTAATTACTCTACAAGAATTTTCCTGCATATTGGAGAGTCTTGAGATAGTAGCTGAGAATACTAATATCCAAAACAAAATAAAAAAATTGTCGCGACGGACAAATATTTTCAGCTTTTTTTCTGTTTACTTTTTCTGAAGTATTTTATTTCCCAAGTCAACGTTCAATTGTAAAAATTTTCACTCAAAAGATCCGATCGTTTCACACGCAGATAAGTAGTTAGATAGAATATTCAAACTACTAACATGATAACAGAAATCTAGTTAAAATACATAAAATTAAGTGAATAGGACGCTCAGAGGAACAAAATTTTAGTTTATGTTGGAATTTGACACGATTTAACATGAGAGAAGGACGTGCGATAAACGTGGCCAGTAACCGTTAAATGAATATTTGTAAATTTGTTTTGAATAATAATACGTAGGTAGTGTCTTTCGAATCGAAATAGATCAACTAGAAAACAATTTAAGGTAAGTAACATGCAAGAAAACATAAGACCATTACAAAATACGAATATAACATAACTAAGTAGATGGCATGGAACATTTGGCACAGAATGACGAATACTTACCGCATATACACATAATTTACAGAGACACTCTGCATTCAAAGTAGGATTTAATAGTAAAATATTTTATCACATTTGCAGTTGACGATGTCCATAACATCATCGAAACGCTAATTCCT